CTTTTTTTTATCAATGTAATTTTTTTTCCACCTAACTTTATTGCTATAACACAGGAGAAAACAATCCTGTGTGATAGCAATTGGAGGTGACAGGTTCAAAGCAGGACTAAATGTAGAGAGGGCAACTTGGCGCCCTGAACTTCCCCACAAGGACACCGGTGCCGCCCCTCTGCGCCCTGCCGCCGGGCCTCGGTGGCCTTTTGGAGGAATCCGGGCCTGAGTGTGGGTGCTGCTGTCAGCGCCCCCTTTCAGCCGGCATCCCTCCATCAGCTGATCGAAGGAGCTGCTTGGAAAATCTTCCAAACGAACAAAGCTGGCAGGCAATGGGCTCTGTTCGGGTATTCTAATAGCGGCCGCTATCTGAATACAAAGGGGACAGCGGGGATTCCTCGATCAGTGCTCGTAAGCGTTGATGGAGGAATCTGTTCTAGTTTTTCGTTCAGCACGCAGGTTGAATGGAAAAAAAAACAGTGTGTGGCCAGTGATCTCTCTGCAGAGGTCCCACACGCCCCCTGCAGAGTCAAACCTATAGCTCTGCTTTCAGAAAAAAACTCATGCTTCCGGCTGATAGGAGAGCTCTAGCTCTGACCCAGCATGGGCCGTTAAAGACCCATTTTAAAGGGTGACACTGCTGCTGGGTAATTTCACTGCAGAACCAACAGTGTTGTCACCCTGTTAGGAAGTGAGGAAATAACTGAGCTACTGGCAGGATAGACAGCTAACAAAAGTATGTCACATGACACATGCCAGTAACATACTGCGGCATAGATGTCATTACATACCCTGTTTCCCCGAAAATAAGACCTAACCCGAAAATAAGACCTAGTGGGTTTTTTTGAGCCAAAAAAAATATAAGACAGTGTCTTATTTTCGGGGAAACACGGTAGTCCCACTTCTGGCTGAAGCTGAAATATCAGTTCTGGGTGGACTGGTCCTTTATCAGGATTTGGTACCCCAAGGGGGATCATTTCAGCAACGTTTCTCCTCTGCTCTCCCAATCATGAAGTCATTCTCCGGCCTTCCTGTTTGAGCGCATACACGGAGGAACGCATTGGGATTGTTTGAAGCTGGTGGTGAATTAGGATGAGACTCTCGGTTGGTTGCGCTCGTTCACATTGTTGGTTCGCCGTCTCACATGTCGGACAGCCGCAGCGCTCTGCAGAAATGTGTTTTTCATCATCCGCTTCTTCCTCTCACAAGAAGGGAATATGGAAATAACAGATGTTACAAGAAGTTCTTATTAAACCAGAACACGGCCGGCTACTTGCTTTATAGAATAACGTCAGGCGAGGAGTAAAAACAAAATCTCCGGGACGCTGATGCTATCCAGCAAACATCACAGCCGCGCTGAAGTCAGCAATTCCGCTCCGTTTACCTGAAATCTGAATAGTACTTTTTAGATGGATTCAGCAGGATTTTCGCGGGGTCTCTGAGCAATCTTTATTGCTGTATGTGTCCCTGATTGGGTATCCTATGCAAAGTGAATTTTAACCACATTCGCTAAGCTAAGGGAGACTTCCCCTGGAAAGTGAACAGTGTGCAGTGTGCCTTTCAGGCAAATCTATACATCTAAATAATGAGAATACCTGAGAACCAAAATCTAGAGGCATGGTACCCACAAGCTGGCCATAGACCTCACAGAATGATGACACATGCAGGCACAACAACTTCACTGGAATGAATGAATGGCTGTCACCTCTCTGCCATTTCAAGTGACACTGGAAAGGTGTGTGCACCTGGCTCTCACCTATCCACCATTCCAGTGTCACTGACAGTTGCAGCCAGGTGCACTGTCAATGGAATGGTGGATAGGTGAGAGTGCACCTGGCTGCCATCTGCAAGCACTATCGGTGTCACTGAAATCACATGTGCACGTGACTCACCTATCCACTATTCCAATGACACTGACAGTGCCTGTTGGTGGAAGTCAGGTGCACAGTCAGTGTCAATGGAATGGTGGATAGGTGAGTGTCTCTGGTAAGGTGTGTGCACCTGACTCGTACCTAGATAGGTGGGTGCCACATGCACAGTGACATTACTGG